TGCACCCAATCTAAAGGTCTCACCTGTAAGTATTTCTCAGGGCATATCATGCCCTGACTTTAAAACATTCATCACAACTTTTTTTTACATATTCATTTGTGTTTGTTTAATGGCTGTTTCTACCAACAGAGTATAAGCTCTCTGAAGTCCATCAGTGGGTTTTTTCAAAAAAAAAAAAGGTAATTAAGGTATAATTTACATACTATAAAATTTAGTACTTTCAAGTGTTCAACGATTTCTATTAAATTTACAGAATTATGCAACCATCAATCACATGACTACTTGGGTTTTGTTCTTCAATGTATCTAAGGCACTTAGGAACTAAATAAATATCAGATAATGAATAAATCATCTGACAATGAGTTATTCTTTTTTTTTTGTTTGAGACACAGTCTCACTCTGTTGCCCGGGCTAGAGTGCCGTGGCATCAGCCTAGCTCACAATAACCTCAAACTCCAGGGCTCGAGTGATCCTTCTGCCTCAGCCTCCTGAGTAGCTGGGACTACAGGCATATGCCACCATGCCCGGCTCATTTTTTATACATATTTTTAGCTGGCCAATTAATTTCTATTTTTGGTAGAAACGGGGTCTCACTCTTGCTCAGGCTGGTTTCAAACTCCTGACCTTGAGTGAGCCTCCCACCTCGGCCTCTCAGAGTGCTACAATTATAGGCATGAACCACCGTGCCCAACCATGAGTTACTCTTGTAATCCCATTATTACTATCTAATTAGTGTACTACGTGAAATGACTTGGTACATTAAAACAACCTTTATTACATTCCATTCTAAATATCCTTCATTATTTCCATTTCCAATCAAAGTTGGCTACATACATATTAACCCTACTGCCTCTCTTGGGGAAGCCCCTACCCCTCTCCAGCTTGGGGAACACTAAGAGTGATCAAGTAGAAATGTATTAATACCATACTTCTTTGTTCTCCATCAAATAACCCACACACGCACTCCAAGCCTTGTTACACAACACTTTATAAACAAAGGAAAGTTCTTTCAGAAGAATTTATTCACTGATGAAAATATGATCTTCATTTAATGGGTGCACCTTTGTAATAATGATGCGATGGAAATAAGTTCTCAATACTGATTTATGTCTGGTTGAGACCTAAATATAGACCTATTAAATAAGTGAAAATCTTTTTCAGATATAAAAGCAGCCTCTTCAGTATGTTAAATTCAGTTTAGCCTAAAGCTGCCTCCTTACATATTTTAAGTTCGGCCTAAATGTTTCTCATACACTAGTGAACTGTAACCAAACTGGATATGTAAACGGTCCAAAACCTACTCTGTACCAATCACAAAGTTTTGGCCAATCACAGGCAGCCAACTTCTCAAAACCATGTTCATAAGGCAAAAGCTGAGCTGTAACCAATTCAGCTGTTTCTGTGTTTTACCTCTGTTTTCCCATAGGTCACTTTCCTTTTTGTAACCATAAATATTATCTAACCATGTGGCAGCCATGAAATAGATCTGAACCTATTCTAGTTTGAGGGAGCTGCCCGATTTGAGAATTGGTCTTTGTTCAATTAAATTCTATTAAATTCAATTGGTTGTAAGTTTTTCTTATAATTTTTTATCCATCTGTAAAGCAAACTTTCTATTTCTATAAAAAAATCAGTATTTCATTCATTTTCAGAAACATTAGGCTTTCAAAAACAAGATTTAATTCAAGTAGAAAATAAATTTTAAAAGACTAGCTATACCTACAACACAACAACAAACAAAAAACCCAATTCAAAAATTGGCAAGGGACTTGAACAGACATTTCTCCAAAGATGATATACAAAAGTTCAATAAGACATGAAAAAATGCCCATCTCCAGCCTTTAGGGAAATGCAAATCAAAAACACGGTGGAGACACCAGTTCACACTCATTAGAATGGCTATTATCAAACAAATCAACCAACAAACAAAAAATTAACTGTAGGCAAGGATGTGGAAAAACTGGAATCCTTCTGCATTGCTGGTTGAAATGTAAAATGGTGCAGCTTCTGCAGAAAAATGCTATGGCAGTTTCTCAAAAAATTAAACATAAAATTACCATAAGATCCAGCAATTCCATTTCTGGGTAGCTACCCACAAGAACTGAAAGCAGAGACTTGAAAAGATATTTGTACATCCATGCTTACAGTAGCATTATTCACAATAATCAAAAAGGTGGAAACAACCTAAATATTCATCAATAGATGAATGGGGCCAGGAGTGGTGGCTCACGCCTGTAATCCTAGCACTCTGGGAGGTCGAGGCGGGCGGATTGCTCGAGGTCAGGAGCTCGAAACCAGACTGAGCAAGAGCGAGACCCCCTCTCTACTATAAATAGAAAGATATTAGTTGGCCAACTAATACATATAGAAAAAATTAGCCAGCATGGTGTCGCATGCCTGTAGTCCCAGCTACTCAGGAGGCTGAGACAGGAGGATCACTTGAGCCTAGGAGACTGAGGTTGCTGTGAGCTAGGCTGATGCCATGGCACTCACCCTAGCCTGGGCAACAAAGTGAGACTCTGTCTCAAAAAA